TTTAGTCACTGCCCATCTCACTCAAGAGCGACTCAAGAATACTTGAGTCAAGAATAAATATTAATTAAATTAAATATTAATTAAAATACAATAAAAATACAATAAAAAACCACGTTCAAACATAAATAATACATAATGGCTTCTAAGATACCGTTGGCAAATAAAGGTTACGGGAGCATCTTCAAGGTGTCAGCCACCCCCAGGCTGGCACCTTATTTTCTGTGGACAACCATGCTGTAACCTTGGTGACTTTAAGATGGGCAGGCTTCAACTCTCAGAATTCCCCAGCCAGCATTCCGGGCCAGAGCTAAATTCCTCGAACCGTGGCCATTTCCAGATGTGGGAACTCCAACTCCCAGAATTCCGCAAGCAGCCTGGCCATAGAGGAGAATTCTGGGAGCTGAAGTCCACACCCCTGGAAGTGGCCAAGCTTGTGTAACAAGGCTCTACGGCGCCTCCTTTTTCATTTACAGCTGCTTTGTAGACCAAGCAGGCCCCCTTGTTGTCACAGAGGCCCGATGCCTCCTAGAGCACTTGTGAATGGCGAGCACGTACCCCAGACTGTGAGTTGCAATGGCGGGTGCTGATGATGGCTCCTGCCTCCTCAATCATTTTTAATATGGTCCCTCCGTGGACGTTGCCTGCGATGTTAGCATCATCTGGGCGCATGATCCTAGGGAGAAAAACAGAGGAGCTGTATCTTTTTCAACCTCAGCTAAGCGAACAGATCCCTCAAGGAAACCAAGAAGCTGCCCATGAGCTTTGAAACTGGGTTCCTCGCCATGGATAATTCAGAAATAAAAGAGCTCAACAAGACAATGGTCTCTCCCACCAAAAAATAACCCTAATCCACAGTCCTGCAGAAGTTCCCAATCAGTAGGCATTGTTCATTGTATTCAAATTTCCTATTGTTTTCCAGAATATTGGTCACCACCAAGATGGTCCTGTCTGGCTTGACCATCTTTTGAATGTCTACGAGAGGGGGACAGGTGAATACATAGGGGGGAAAAAAAGCTGTTTATGGGATGTCACCGCGTGAAGCTGATCCAGGACACAAGTAGACGGATCAGCCATTTCCAGCACTTCCACTTGCAATCCACCTATAACTTTCCTGCTCAGTTATTGCTCTGTCAACTGTTTGTCTTCAGGGCCGAGACACCATAATTCTATAAAACGTAAACATGGATTACCTCATTGTCCCAATTTAGGAGCAGAAAAGGGATAGGTGGGGGAAGGGTCCAGCTGCCGTTCCCCAACGCTGACTGTTTTGGTTGGGCTATGGAAAAACAAGCTTCATGAGCTTCTTTGGGTCTACTGTACTCTGACTGTCTTTGAACTGCAGCATCTCTCAAGAACAACGGGCAAGAAGAGGTCATCAAAAGCTTCCTTAGATAAGGAAGACCACTGGAAAGACTAGGAAGAGGCTTTCCAAGAGAAAGACACAGGATGTCTAGGTCCTGGTGATGCTAAGGCAACAACAGGTCCTATCTACCTCCAACCTGGACCCACTGATCAGATCCAGATCAGAAATCTCTCCCACCAGGGAAAGAACATCAGAAGATGAAGAGGCCCATGGAGGCCCAGCTAGGCTGAGAAGCCACTGAATCAAGCAAAGCTATACAAGAATAACCTGTGAAGGGAAAACAGGTCTGAATAGGACCAGAAGGATCTAGCGCATTGGTTCTCAACGGGGGCGGTACCGCCCCAGGGGGCAGTGGGAGGATGCTGAGGGGCAGTGAACTTGTTTTGGGCAGTAGGGGGGCGGTGGGCATGTT